CCGTGACACGGGACCTACGTTTTTAAGGTCATATCCGAAAGACCCGTGACTTTCACTTCTAGTGCCGAGCGCTTGGCGAAGGAACAGTCACTACCTATGTTTACGTCTTAGGTATGACGCGGCGCCGCGATCGGAATCGAACCCGGGCCTCCCGATCACGAAGCGAACGCTCTACCACTAAGCTACCGTGACCGGTATATGATAAAGTGAAGCTCTAATAGAAATGGTAATAAAAATGTTAATGAAAAAGTAATAAACATATGGTCTTGAAATTTATAACATAGAAATTTAAGAATCTATCCATCATTTTGTTATATTTTTGTAAAAATGCTTTGTATCCATCATAATTTGTAATACTCTGTAGAAATAGGAAAATTTGTTAATTTTGGGCATTTCGAGATGCTCCCTTTGGTAATTAAGACGGTAGAATGTTGTGTTTCTCACACATAATGTGCAATATAGTATTACTCATCGTATATTTAAGGAATGTTTTTAAGTTTTGTGTGAGTTATTGGTGTGTGAATCACACAGACTTGTCATGAAGGCATATTTCATAAAGCGCGCTAGCGCTTCATGAAAAATATGCCTACGTGCAAGTCTGTGTGATTCTCACACCAATAATTCACACAAAACTTTAAACATTTCCTTATATTTACATTTTACATGATTGAAAGCTACTAAAATATACTAAATATTTGGATTTCTCCCTGTCCTATATTGTTGCATTTTTACTAACGTCGCTTCATTCTCATTGTGACGTCACATTAACGCACGTCTCTCCGTGTTTATTTCTACGCGTGAGTATACACGAAAATGGTTTTCAAATCAATTTCACAGTTGGCTTAGTAGAAAAACACAGCGAATGTAAATATTATAGTTTGAACAAAAAGTCTATTGTGGTATTTGTATAATTTGTTTTAAAGTGCTAAAAATGGGCACTTTCCTATATAATCCTACAGTAAATGTACCTGTATTTTGAGATGGTCCCTTAAGAATACCTGGACGGTAGTTTTTCCCGAAACTTTGCATATACACTGAAGATAATGTTAGTTATATATGATGTAAAAATGAAGAGTTTCGCTATTGTAGTTTTCACACAATAAAACTCCACTCGGCCCCCTTATTTTTACAAAAAAAAAATCGGTAAACGACACATTTATCAAATCCCCGCCTATGTCAATCAATAAATAGTAAATCTTCCACTTTTTTCCAGAAAATCTGATAGTGTCAGTTTCTCCTTCCTATGTGTATATGCCAACCAGCTGCTACAACTATACAACCGTGGAAAATGTTACTGTCATAGAAAGCACTACATTGACGCAAAATGTCACAATAACAGATGAGGTCACAAAAATTGTAGACGTCACACTCACTGTAAATTTTACTATGACGGAAAACGTCACCATAACAGATTATGTCACAGTAAAAGAAAACATCACAAAGACAGAAAACGTCACGGTGACGCAATATATCGAAAGGACAGAATACGTCACAGAAGACGCGGTTACAGCAATCGTGACTTCTTTTTTTCCCTTTACAGTTACTGTACAAGTGCCTATTACTCCATTACCCTCTGCATGTGATGAACAAACCTCTTACATAAATACTTCAAACACTCGTTATATAGAGGAGGCGGTGCAGAATATTTCTAAAGCTTTATACGTAGATAAAAAGACGACTAATTCTTATATACGAACAAAAACAAGTGCACAGGATAATCGACCGTCTTCAGTAAGGTTGGGATACGTAGGTATCGTGTGTGTGGTTGTGCCGTTTGTTCTTATTCTACTGTCGGATTTGAAATCGATTTATGTTCATATGTCGGCTGTATGCAGGAGTTATAACGGACCAGCATCCCCGCCAGCATGACAATGAGGACTGGATGTATTTTGACTTTAATTTTCCATTTATTAAATCTTGCACAATTTCTAGAGACAAGGGAGCATGAAGCCGTGGCATGCAACCATATCTTTCCATAATCCAAGATGGCTCTGACACCCAACGCTCTTTTTTATATGCACAGGGAAGTGGCAGAGTGTATGTTATACTAAGAAAAAAAAACTAGAATTCTATTTAACATGCTGGTATGGAGATTTTTCTATAGTCATTCATCGTAAATCAATGGCCACGGTTAGCTGGAGTGTTACCCGTCGACAGGGAATGATCACTCCTCCATGGGACCTAATCCTACCTCTGATGTTTTAGACGTCTGTTTTCTCTACACTTGATATGTCTTGTTTGAATTGACTTTTTAGCTTGAATACTGTTTGTTATCTCCATTTATTACCTAATCAAGTGAATTTTGTTGTTTTATTAGAGATTTAATATTTTCATCTATTCTGGATGTGTTTTCAGTTTTCCTTATCTTTTCAAACCGATCTATTGACCGGTCAATAGAATGCGCGTTCTATTGACCGGTCAATAGACTGCGCGTTCTATTGACCGGTGACGTATTTCGTCAAAAACGATCCGGGTTTCGAATTTAGTTGTTTGTAACACTGCACAGACATGGTAAACAATCATCTTATTCGATCTTTCTGCATTGGTTTTAAAAATTGTGTGATTTCAATGGTCGGATATTTTATTAAATGAGAGTTACTTTTAATTAATACACTGTGGGATGTGGAGACTGGTCCTTCGGGTGAGACCTATCAACCGAGGTCCCGTGTAGCAGTAGGTGCTCTGCTGGCACGAAAAAGGTCCCTCTTCACTGGGAAGTGGTGGCGTCTCCATATAACAGTGAAAACTTTTCGAGAGGAATGTAAACAATAGTCTATACAATCAATCGTTAACTAATATTACAAGTGCACGATATCTAGGTAAATAACAATATGGTACGGGAACCTTATGTACTGAATATACAATTGTGAACACTTAATACGGAAAATAAAATTAGGTAATAAAACAATTATTTAATGCCTGAACAGTCAATAGACCAGAAAATTTTTCCCTCTGTGCAGGGAACAGCTCAGTGTGTTCTATTGCCCTCGGCCGCTGGCCTCGGGCAATAGAACACACTGAGCTGTTCCCTGCACCTTGAGAAAAATATTCTGGTCTACTGACTGCTCAGGCATTAAATAATTGTATAATATAACACATTACAATTATCGGGCGTTATTAAAAAAATTTATATGAGAAAAGACCTCAATAAGTCATGTTTCAGTATTTGGACTGTATACATGTATATCATAACAGTTTTCTTTTTTAAAAAGAAATAGGAGTAATTGTTTATTACATTAAGTAAATTCATTAACTATCTTAATGGAAGAAGGAAAAAAATGAATACGTTATTTTACACGTCACGGCAAAGAATGTAATCATGGGGTTGTGCAACTGTACATTTGTCAAATATTTTCAACAAATTCCCTTCACATTTTTATTATTTTGAGATTTAAGAGATGGAGATTTGCTAATTGTGTGCCCTTGTCCATCACCTTTAGCGATCAACATAACTTTATGTAAAGACAAAAAGATACCAAAAAAGACCTTTTACAATTTTACTCAAGATGTTATGAAATAAGAATAATATTTATTTACATTGTAATTACGTGTCACAGTGAAAAATAATAATATACTGAAAGGAAAAAGAAACGCAGGGTAACATAATATTCCAAAAAATTTTGACCGCATGACCGAAAATTACGAAAATTGGTAAGATGAGAAATTTAGTTTCTATGCACCAAAATCAGTGTTAAGAATTACTCAACCGTAAATTGTATGACGTCACGTAGGGAAAACGCTAAAATGCCCAAAACACGTGCAATTTGATGACGACGAGTTTGCCAACAAATCGTGTTGCACTATTCGATTCATCTGAGGTATACACACTGTTTTTCAATATTTAGAGACGATATGAATTTCTTGCAATCTTGGTACAGTTTACGGAAGTTCCCTGAGGTCTGGTTTTCGAATTGCCTAATCAATGAAAAAGGTAACGACGGGTAACTAAGCAGTTTCTTGTAAAATTTCTCCCATAAAACTTGTTACCCGTTGTCAGAGAGGACCTTGAATGGTTTTCAATCAACCGTGACGATGATGTTAACGCGAAACAGAGTCATGTTGCGAGCGGGTTGTTCGTCCTACCATCTCCTAAATTGCCACCTTACTACCACAAAAACCGCCTTTTATACAGTATACTGTTATTATCATTACATTCACACAAAAATTGAAAGAAAATATTTCCGCAATTTGGTTTTTTGAGCCGGTCAACTTACTGTTATGTTCCTCTCACTGGCGCATGCGCACGTCTAATGACTAATTTTTTGACGTGATTACACATGCCCAATTTAATATAGCCAGGGTTTGAAAGATAAGTAATCTAATGAATTCCATGCAAAGGAGAAATAAGGCTCATGTCAGATGAGCGGGAGAGACATTCAAGATAATGTTTTCTATTTTTACTTTTGGGGGGTATCGTCATATGAGCTTCAATAACTCATGAATTATTAGACAAAATCAAATGGGATTTCGGTTACATCTTTTTGAAAGATCCATTTGGCAGAAAGCGCTAACAGTAAAAATGATTTTCGAGATTTGTGATTTCTGACTTTTTTTCATAGGATATATTTTACTGTACCAAAACACTGGATTTTTCTTAAATTTTATATAATAAATAGAAGTATATAATAAATTTATTTAAGCAATATATATATATATATATATATATATATATATATATATATATATATATATATATATATATATATATATATATATATATATACAGTGAAACCTGTCTTATCCGACATGCCATGGGAAATTAAATTTATGTCGGATTAAACAGTGTGTCGGATTACTCAGTGTTGGCTATTTCTGTCACATTGTCAAGTATGGCATTAGATCCAACATTATCAGTAAAAGGTACATCTTTGATTATGGCCTCCATATTTATTTCATATAAAAAATTTATACATGAAGATGTGATTTTATTTCAATAAATAATTAAATGACATGGTACATTTCTATTTACAGTTTCAGACAATAAACAATGCAACGTATAGTTACAGTTCCTGAGGTTTGGTGAAAAAAGTGTCAATTGTTGTCTGTTTTTTGTTAAGTCGCTGTTTAATTAAAGTCTCTTCCGTCAGAGTTGTAAGATACTGGATGCTTTCGAAATATCGGGCGTCCTTAGCAATTGCAAATTTGCCCATTTCTTTGAGCATGTCAAGAACATTGTTATAGGTCAGATCAGTCTGAATAATTTCATCACCGGAATCTTCAGAATCACTGCTTGCATTTTTTGTATTGTCGTTTTTATATTCAGACAATATCTTTGTTTCCCAGTCTCCATCATACGTCTCTTCTGTTTCCAAGTCATTTTCCGTCTCTGTTATTATGTCCAAGTTGTTTTCGTCCGCCATTTCATATTTCGTTTTTAAGATGCTTAAAGGTAGATCATCGTCGTCGTCATCGTCAGAAATCTCAGATGATGAAGATTCGGTAATTTCAACCGGGAAACCTGCGTCGCGGAAACAACTTTCAATTGTGGTTTGTTTTGTCTCATCCCATGCCTTGTTGATCCAGTGTATTGCATCAAGTACACTGACATTTCTTGTCAATTCCGCAGCAGTTTTACATGTGTCCATTTTTGATAAGAGATGTCCCGTCATACGTTTCCTATAACGAGCCTTAAACGCACGTATGATCCCCAGATCAAGAGGTTGTAACTTGGATGTTGTATTCGGTGGAAAATATTTCAGAGTTATATTTCTTAATTTTAAATCATGTGGGTGAGATGTGGCATTATCCAGAAAAAGAAGAATTTTTCTGCTTTGTCTTTTCATTTCTTTATTTACACCGAATATCCAGTCCTTAAACGTTTCCCCGGTCATCCATGATTTTTTGTTTGAGCGCCAAATAACGGGAAGTTTTGACGGGTCAAGACTGCCAAAACAACGGGGCTTGCGGGCTTTACCAATAACTAACGGTTTTAGTTTTTCTCCAGTACAACTACAACACATCATGACTGTTATTCTTTCTTTAGCTAATTTTCCCCCTTTGCATTCTTTCCCTTTTTCGGCAAATGTTTTATCAGGCATCGCTCTGAAAAATAAACCGGTTTCATCACAGTTGAAAATATTTTGAGCTGAATAACCACGCACGAGATCCGGAATTCTAGACTGATATTCATTAACACACTCAATATTGACACTTGCACTTTCACCACAGATTTTAAAAAAAACCTATAGAGTATTTATTTTTCCAACTCTCGAGCCAACCGTTAGATGCTTTGAATTCATCCAGCCCAAGCTCGGCGGCGAATTCAATAGCCTTTGCCTGTATTAACGGGCCGCTTAGCGGTATATTTTTTGCCCTAGCTTGTCCAAACCATTTGAACACCAATTCATTTAATTCAAAAAACTTTGACCCAGATGTAAATCGTTTTCGCTTGGATGAAATGTTTCCTTCATATTGTTCCATCAAAAAAGTCTTACGTTTCAAAATGTCCGAAACAGTGGTACGTCCAACTCCGAATTCTTTCGCAAGCTGTTCTTGTTTTGGTTTTGGAAACGACTCTGATTTTTTTATTAATTCAATTTTTTTTTCCAGTCCCAAATCAATTCTTTTCCTTTTAGGAGAAGGCGACATTTCACATACCAGTTTTCTTTTCTGAGGCGTTGAAGCCATTTTCGTGTAAAAATAATACCAACAAAGAGAATGGATTTGTCTTTTTTAATTTGAGTTTTAATCAATTATTGTGTACACAAACAAAACACCTGCAAACTTCAACATGAATCACTGACTACATTCTCAGCTGACCAATTGACCAAACGGGACTTTAAAATCACAGCTGGGACCCGTAATTGGCCAGCGGCTAATTATGATATACCTACCTGGGGTTTAACCAGCCGTGTAATTATGTCGGATAACACAGGTGAAACTGCAATGCAATTAATAGGCCGTGTTTACAAAGAGTTGTCGGAATTCGGAATGTACAGTGGTCGGATTGTAAAGTATTTTTCTATATAAGTTATATAAAGAATTTTTTGGGAATAAAGATTTGCGTCGGAAGTGCCAGTGTGCCGGATTGCACAGTTGTCGGATTGGACAGTGGGCACTGTATATATATATATATATATATATATATATATATATATATATATATATATATATATATATATATATATATATATATATATATATATAATTTATAATGACCAGATTTTAAATCAAACACAAAAAAGGTAATAAGTTGCCACAAAACGTCGGTTACAAAAAAGAAAAAAAAATAATAGAATACAGATTATAAACAGTGCAGAATACCGTCCCCCTAAAATGCCCGAAGTAGGATCAGGTGCCAAGGAGAATTAAGCAATCCTTGTCCAGTAACGAAACCTCTTGAGCCTTGTGAATGTATCAGGTAGACGACGTAATGCGTAATGAAGACCGCTTAACAAAACTGAACACTCTTAATTATCGTTTTACTCGATATTTGCTGAGAAAAATGTGGGAACTTCCTTTCCTTACCGAATAATAAAAAATCGATCAAAACGTTGAATTTCCTACCAACAAAATATAATTCAAGTTATCATTTTCGTTTCCTGCACTTATTATAAACCCCTGTTGTTTTCGATGAAATTTTCTGATAAAGACTTTTCAATATTAATAACATTTGAACTTTGGCTTGAAAAAATTTCAAGCTAAGGGAATAATTTTGTTCTTGAATATAGAGAAAAACTGTAAACATAATCGGATAAGTATAAAAGTGCGGATTTCTAAAAATCTTTTTTGGCAGTTGCAATAAAATAAATTAATAGGTACTGTGAGATTTATTATCAACTACCCAACTCTTTACTCAACCAAATTTTTATTCCTGAGAACATGATGTGTAGGCTACAGCCTGTTTGCTTATGTAGAATATACGTCACTGCCAACAAAGTATATTTTAAACAAATTTGAATCTTTACTACCTGAGATTGTTTTTTGTTTTGATACGCCGAACCATGCCTTTGCCATTGGTGCTCATTTAAAATATTTCATTTCTCCTTTCTCTAGCACCCTACCCCTTACAGTCATGATTATATTGGCCCGAAAATTGTCCTATCGCGAATTTCAAAATTTTTACCACTTTTTCTACGATATCTTTTAACCTGGAAATATTTTGTGAAAACATATAGATCAAAAGAAGTGTAGAATTCCAAGACCTTTCAAATGAAATCTCAAAAAGGGGCTGGCCCCTAAAATTAAGAACCTAGAGGGGCCAAAAGTTTTTTCTTTATATCTAAAAAAGTATTGAGAATTTGTAATATGTGAAACAAGCAAAGTTGTTTAAAATATCAAGCTTAATCTAATGGCGTCATCAAAAAACGTCCGGCGACGTTCCTTCCAGACAAACCGGATGTAGTCAGAAAATGCATATTTTTGCCATTCTTAACAAGTTTTTGGGTAACATCTGTCACTGGGAGCATAAAAACAAATTTCTGTCCGTCGTCGTCACTTCCGGTCAAACTGGAAGTAACAAAAAGGCTTATTTCTAAACTAATAAACATATATTTAGAGGATTAAAACCATTTTTAGGTCTTATTACACATTTTTGTAATACATAAAAGTTACTTTCGGTCTAACCGGCGGAAGACCTACTCGTTGTTTGCAACGAGCTTTGCTCTAGTTTCTAACCTATTATTATGTTGCCCCGAACGAAGTCGGGGACGACATATTGATATTGTACGCATGTTTTTTTTATCCAGGCTGTTTCTCGGAGATGGCTGGGACAATCTTCCTGAAATGTTCCTCAAAGGACGATCTCTGGTTGTAGTTGTGCAGTGAGGTCGTTCAGTTCCAATATGTCTACCGTTGAAATTAAACGTTTCCCCGGTCATCCATGATTTTTTGTTTGAGCGCCAAATAACGGGAAGTTTTGACGGGTCAAGACTGCCAAAACAACGGGGCTTGCGGGCTTTACCAATAACTAACGGTTTTAGTTTTTCTCCAGTACAACTTCAACACATCATGACTGTTATTCTTTCTTTAGCTAATTTTCCCCCTTTGCATTCTTTCCCTTTTTCGGCAAATGTTTTATCAGGCATCGCTCTGAAAAATAAACCGGTTTCATCACAGTTGAAAATATTTTGAGCTGAATAACCACGCACGAGATCCGGAATTCTAGACTGATATTCATTAACACACTCAATATTGACACTTGCACTTTCACCACAGATTTTAAAAAAAACCTATAGAGTATTTATTTTTCCAACTCTCGAGCCAACCGTTAGATGCTTTGAATTCATCCAGCCCAAGCTCGGCGGCGAATTCAATAGCCTTTGCCTGTATTAACGGGCCGCTTAGCGGTATATTTTTTGCCCTAGCTTGTCCAAACCATTTGAACACCAATTCATTTAATTCAAAAAACTTTGACCCAGATGTAAATCGTTTTCGCTTGGATGAAATGTTTCCTTCATATTGTTCCATTAAAAAAGTCTTACGTTTCAAAATGTCCGAAACAGTGGTACGTCCAACTCCGAATTCTTTCGCAAGCTGTTCTTGTTTTGGTTTTGGAAACGACTCTGATTTTTTTATTAATTCAATTTTTTTTTCCAGTCCCAAATCAATTCTTTTCCTTTTAGGAGAAGGCGACATTTCACATACCAGTTTTCTTTTCTGAGGCGTTGAAGCCATTTTCGTGTAAAAATAATACCAACAAAGAGAATGGATTTGTCTTTTTTAATTTGAGTTTTAATCAATTATTGTGTACACAAACAAAACACCTGCAAACTTCAACATGAATCACTGACTACATTCTCAGCTGACCAATTGACCAAACGGGACTTTAAAATCACAGCTGGGACCCGTAATTGGCCAGCGGCTAATTATGATATACCTACCTGGGGTTTAACCAGCCGTGTAATTATGTCGGATAACACAGGTGAAACTGCAATGCAATTAATAAGCTGTGTTTACAAAGAGGTGTCCGAATTCGGAATGTACAGTGGTCGGATTGTAAAGTATTTTTCTATATAAGTTATATAGAGATTTTTTTGGGAATAAAGATTTACGTCGGAAGTGCCAGTGTGCCGGATTGCACAGTTGTCGGATTGGACAGTGGGCACTGTATATATATATATATATATATATATATATATATATATATATATATATATATATATATATATATATATATATATATATATATATATATATATATATATATATATCGCAATTTCTTGGAATGACCAGATTTTAAATCAAACACAAAAAAGGTAATAAGTTGCCACAAAACGTCGGTTACAAAAAAGAAAAAAAAATAATAGAATACAGATTATAAACAGTGCAGAATACCGTCCCCCTAAAATGCCCGAAGTAGGATCAGGTGCCAAGGAGAATTAAGCAATCCTTGTCCAGTAACGAAACCTCTTGAGCCTTGTGAATGTATCAGGTAGACGACGTAATGCGTAATGAAGACCGCTTAACAAAACTGAACACTCTTAATTATCGTTTTACTCGATATTTGCTGAGAAAAATGTGGGAACTTCCTTTCCTTACCGAATAATAAAAAATCGATCAAAACGTTGAATTTCCTACCAACAAAATATAATTCAAGTTATCATTTTCGTTTCCTGCACTTATTATAAACCCCTGTTGTTTTCGATGAAATTTTCTGATAAAGACTTTTCAATATTAATAACATTTGAACTTTGGCTTGAAAAAATTTCAAGCTAAGGGAATAATTTTGTTCTTGAATATAGAGAAAAACTGTAAACATAATCGGATAAGTATAAAAGTGCGGATTTCTAAAAATCTTTTTTGGCAGTTGCAATAAAATAAATTAATAGGTACTGTGAGATTTATTATCAACTACCCAACTCTTTACTCAACCAAATTTTTATTCCTGAGAACATGATGTGTAGGCTACAGCCTGTTTGCTTATGTAGAATATACGTCACTGCCAACAAAGTATATTTTAAACAAATTTGAATCTTTACTACCTGAGATTGTTTTTTGTTTTGATACGCCGAACCATGCCTTTGCCATTGGTGCTCATTTAAAATATTTCATTTCTCCTTTCTCTAGCACCCTACCCCTTACAGTCATGATTATATTG